ATTTCAACGGTCGTTGTGTCGTGTTTAAAAAGGACTCGGATGTCTACAAACGTTTTAACGTTTCACTGAGGACACGAAGAGCCGCCTGGCGTCGATCGCAGGGCTGAGATTGTGTGGCTAGAGAATCGAAATGAAAGGTCAACCTTTGCCCTTGAATTCTGCGGTGGATTTGTGGCCGTGGGTACATTTTAGCTTGGGATTTTTTACTTCGTTCGGGAGGCTGTCTGGACAGAAGTGTTCGGCCTTGTCTTATCTTTAAGAAGAGAAAACCAGGATTAAAAAAACCCGCTTAAATCAAGTGAAATCGGTAAAAATAACGACACCAGGAGCAAGCAACACACGTATGGAATAAGGTAAGCCATTTTTATTTAATATTTTCGCTTTTAACTATCCCTATGGATATCTTGTAGAAAATCCCATACAAATCCTTTTCACGATCCTCGCAGTAGAGAGCGCTATTTATGCAACAGCGAAAATCAGACCTGACCTATGCGATACTGCACTGACCATCACGGGTTTATTACGAATCACGGGTTTATTACGAATCAGCTTAACGGCCTTCTCCCAGTTGGCTTGTTAGCTCAATTGGTAGAGCGCTGCACTAGTATCGCAGAGGTCAGTGGTTCGAATCCCGTACAGGCCTGATTTTTTCTCGGGTCTGATTTTCGCTATTGCATAAATAGCGCCCTCTACTGCGAGGATCGTGCATCATACTTAAGACCCTTTGATAGCACGCTGACTTGGCTGTCAGAGAGGTGATAGTTCGAGAGACGTTTTTGGAATTTATGCGTCTCCCTTTCTTTGGCTGATAGCCTACATTTCAAATTAAAGTGTTTCTACGCTCTTTGCGCCCTTTTTTTTTTTGTTCTTCTCCCTATTGTGTTAGAGCCAGCTCTTTTAGAGAAGCACCAGCTAGTTTATTTTCTCGCCTTCATTTTATTGAAAATCCTTAGCACTGCCTGTCGCAGAGGTTATCTAAGGGGATTTAGAGCCAGTTCGGGTAGACGAGGGGAAGGGGGAAATTGACGGGGTCTAGAACCTAGAGACGATGTTCAGAGTCAAAGAATCGTCAATGGCAAGCATTGATGCGACTGCTAATTTGACTACAACAGGACAGGCGGTTTCTACTCTTCACGAGTCTCATCAGCTGTTGTTTGAATGTGATGTTACAATAACTAACACCAGGGACCAACAGGAATAATGCAAACTCGATCCTCAAGCCTAACTGTCCTCGTTTGAAAAAGATCACAGAGGCATTTTCCATCCGGGAACGGACTGATCGAGAACACCACTCTACCTTTCCCTGAAATACTTAGTTATTGCAACACAGAAGGGTTAAACTTGATATCCGCAAAACAGTGCTCGATACATATAGTAGAGCGAGTATAACGTGTGATAAGCAGAAAAAAATAAATCAACTACATTTCATCCCTACAGACCTGTTTCGTGGTTGCCCACTCATCACTGAATTAATTGTCCACGCCACACCTATGGACACTGAAAACATCAAGACAGAGATATGCCGTATCTTTAACGCCAACGGACTCCGCATCACCATAGAAGCCAACATACAAGTAATCAACTTCCTAGACGTCACATTTAACCTCAGCCAAAACACATACCAACCATACGCAAAGCCTAACACCACACTGCAATACGTCCATCACGAGAGCAACCACCCACCGATCACCACAAAAAACATCCCCGCCGGTATCAACAGACGCTTATCTTCTCTCTCATCCGACAAAGCCTACTTCAACCAAGCAGCTCCCGCCTACCAGAAAGCACTAGACAAGAGTAGATACAGCTACATACTTCACTAAGAACCAACACACACGCAGAGGCGCAAGAACCGTCAACGCAACTATATCCCCTTGTACAACCCACCTTTCACCAAGAACACCAGCACTAACATCGGGCATAAATTCCTCACACTGATAGACAAACACTTCCCTAAAGACCATAAGCTTCGAAAAATCTTCAAAAGAAACACAATCAAGATCAGTTACAGCTGCATGAACAATACGAAACAAATCACTGACAACCACTACAAAAGAATCCTGATTTCCCACGTAAAGACTAATGCTGCCGACACAACCGCCGACATTACCGCTAGCAATAACAAGAAATGCAACTGCCGACAGAAAAACTCATGCCCGCTCACGGAAACTGCCTCCAACAATCTGTTATCTACCAAGCTACCGTCACACGTAAAGAAAACAACTCGACGGATTCATACATCGGACTCACTGCAAAAGACTTCAAGACCCGCTACAATAACCACACCTCATCGTTCCGACACGCAAAGCACCACAACTCTGCCGAGCTCAGTAAATACATCTGGACACTTAAAGACAACAACATCGGCAAATCCATCACCTGGCGCACTCTATCTTCACACCTGCTCTACAACAGCTCAAGCAAACGATGCAACCTATGCCGTAAAGACAAATTCCTGATCATCTTCCAGCCCGACCTATCTACACTAAACAAACGTAACGAACTCGTCTCTTCCTGCCGACACAGAAACAAAGCCCTCCTGCGCAACACACAAAGCACACACAGCCCACAATTCCTCTATTCACTCCGACGAAGGGCTAACGCTCGAAACGTCAGCTTTTGTAATCGTTACGGTAGCCAATTTACCATTTCAACTTTGTTGATATGTCCAAATTACCTCCTGCGCAACAGCTGACACTTTTCTTGCTAAATCAATTATGTTAATTCATATAGTATATAAGCAATGGTACTACGTTATTCTGTCATTTAGATCCCCTGATGAGTGGGCAACCACGAAACAGGTCAGTAGGGATGAAATGTAGTTGATTGATTTCTTTTCTGCTTATCACACGTTGTTAGTTATTGCAACACCATATTCAAACAACAGCTGATGAGATCCGTGAAGAGTCTGAAACTGCCTGAATGCCTCTCTCTCAAAAGTAATTTTTTCACTTTCCCCCATTGATTTTCGAGAAATTTTCGCACATTTCAACTACCGCGGCCCTTTATTCTTCACACCGATGAGAGCGACTTCTCACCTAGCCTCGTTCTCGCGCAGTAGTTTCGGCACCAGATCACTTACAGAGATGACTCGGAAATGGTCTAATTTACCCAGAGTTCCCAGAAAGTTTATCGCGACTTGTAAATTTCACTTCCTCGTTCGCACCCTCTGAAATTATTTGTAATTAAGTGAACTGATATGTGATCAGAAATGGAGTTGTTTTTAGCATCATTCCGCTCCTTTGTGATGTTTCTATTCATTCAGGGTTTTGGTAAGTACAAGGCTAAAGAAACTTTCGAGTAAAAGCGTTCGTACTTTAACGGAAGACGCATCAACCTAGAAGTTGGGGCTTCTGACTCAGTTTTTACACCATAGTAACAGACAAGAGTCCGTATTTTATAGCTTTAAAAGTGTGAGCTTATATATTGCAGTTCATTATTTGTCACCAGACAAAAAACGTAGTCGATTATTTTTATAAGTGTGAACGTTAAGTGTATTGTGCATCGCTTTCTCTTGTGACTTCGTTGCAGGCTGTTTCCAACCCATGTTTTCGTCACCTGCATTCTTCACTTTACTTACACTACCTTCAGCTGAAGCCTTTTACTTTCATGATATGTCTCATTTATTCCACCTTGTCCGTGTAGGGTACATTTATATTACTATTCAACAATCTATGGCATCGCTCCTGTGTTGGGGATGCCAGTGGTTGTTTTTGTCATAGTATAGAATTAGTCTTGGTGTTAATTTGAGATCTAATTCATTCAGTTGCATGCTTATAAGTAAATGGCATGAAACTCTGAGTACCAATAACTGCCGCCCAGTCAGCCTAATGGATAGTGGGCTGGACTGTTGTGTGGGAGGTCGAGGGTTCGAGCCCCGGCTGGACCAACACTCAGGGTCTTAAAATAATTGAGAAGAATTTGCTACCTTTCTTTAACATCAAGAAATGGCTAGATATTCTAGTCTTCTTGGATAGGGATGAATAAATGGAGGTCCTGTCTCCTACAGGGTTGGGGTAGGAGACGTTAATTTCCCTTACACGAGATTACAGT